GCATTACAATGGCATTCACCGTAAATAAGATGCATGTTCGCATATTCTTCCGCTGTGTACAGATACGGCATGTCGCGAAACGTGTTAGTTTTGCTAAGTACTAACTAATACAGTTTACACAACACAAATCGAGTCCAGCGAATAAGCCAGAGTCGTCAACACAGATGCAATATTAAGTCCAGGGTAACACAAGCCAAAGTCGTCAGTACAAAAGTTACACGATTACGAGAAGATGCACAGTAAACGAAGGAACGTAGCGTACTAAATGATAATAACCAATTATCAATAATAGAGCATCGGTGTCACTATCCGTCTCGCTCATTCTAATTCATGTCGCACAGCGTCACTATCCATCTCACTCTATTACATATGACCATCGCACTTCCGCGATATTAAAGCCAATCTTTGAGCACACAAAAGTATTATTTATCATGGCATGAGTTTTTTTTTAAACGAGCTCCTTTTGCAAAAAATAAGTTATAATATTTTTTATGGAATGAAGACTGGCAAGTATTGTATCATTTTGAAATCTTGGTTATATGGGCCATCTTTTAAAATAACTTGCCCAGGGTAGTGTAGTACATTTTTTTTTTTAATATGTAGTGTCAAAGCTAGCTGACATTTTTTTTTTAAGCTAATAGGCATAAGATAATAGGCATTTTTTTGAAAATGCCTATTATCTTATGCCTATTGTGCAGTGACATGGATTTTTTTTTAATTTTTACCAGAACTGATATAACCTGGCCTCTCGCCCAGTGACCGCTTGACGTTGAGTTTTGGGACACCCTGTATACCCAATAGCTCAAATCCATAACATAAACAAAACTAGAAAAATTGTTATCACACGAATTGTCAAAATTATATTTGGAAATTTTAACCTTGCGCTGTCATATAAGAGACATCTTATCTTGTCTCTGAAACAATTATATCATTGTATAAAAGTTGAAAATAAGGAATGAGAATAATAAACAAGTTTGAACTAATCTGAAAGCACGGCAAGCTGAAACAAAACGAAGCACTAATGGAATACAAATGACCGTTTTGCTTATACGCTAAAATCCATCAATATTTCAGGCTTTGGACACATTGATAGGAATGTTTCTAGAAGTGACTTATAATAATACAAGATTTTAAATTTAGAAACAATAAAAAGCCGAATACAAGGATTTAAATTTATTTTTCGCGTTCATTTTGAAAATCACATAGAATAAATAGTAGCAACTGAATCGCGTTAACTCTGTGCATCATAACATCTGCGCATATAAATATGGCGTGTGCATACGCGCTATGCGGCTATATACACATGCTGCAGTCTTTGTACATACAAAAACCTTCACACGTTTTGATCAGACATTCCTTATCAGTGATACAACAATATCGGTCGAGAGAACACTGCTTATACTGGCTTTATTACTGATTACAAAAAAAAAAACAATACTGAAAATTCCTGAAAATTCAGACTCTATTGGATAGACACAGATGTGAGACAAAAATAAATTTTCTAGCTGTTATCGAATGTCATATATGCCATTTCATTAATCAATCAAACGCGTGTAAAATACGATACGGATCATTTTGTAATGCGTTTCTCGCGCTTATAACTATATGGTACGTATATCTTTGTAGGCGCGTTTGAATTGATACAAATGCAACAATCTGCTTTTCGAGCAGAGCCTCGAAACGTAGACGAAACATGAGACGGCGTTGTAAATGCACGTTCCGGAAACGCGCGTCGTCTGCGTATATAACACGCCGTATGCATACGTACTTGGTAAAAAATATCTTCTGCCTTAAACCGTTTCCAAATAAACATTATCTTTGCTAAAGCAGGTTATCCATTACAGTTCGCGTGCTTGTCGACTATTGAACGTTCTGTTACGTACCCTTAGCGAACTGAACTGTAATTTGACATCTACATTAAATGCTTCTCCAAATATACTATTTTTCTACACAGAACATCTATACAATTATGATACATAAAAGGGAAAATTTATACAATAAATCACTATTTGCTATAACTGTAACATGATTGTTCAATTATGAACATTATGCTCCGTTTTCTACAATTTATTTATTTCCTTACAAAATATATTGTGTTGGAAAAAAATACAATTACAATTAAAAAACTTACATCAAATACAAAATAATAAGAGACCGAACATAATTTAATATATTAACAAGTCATTAATGCAAAATAATGATGATAATAATAATACAATAATAATAATAATAATAATACACGCAAAATAGGCGCTTTGTCGTCGAGTTGCGGATACCAGCCCGTTGCATCAAGTACCAAGTAGTACAATAATAATAACTGTAAGAAGTTGTCACTGGGGTGGCAGAGGGAAACCAGGTTTTCTCCAATATGGTGGTTTTATTTCACAACATATACAGTACATACAGTTCAGGACGTACGTACAGTGGGAAAGGACTCCCCCTAATCGGCACGTAGTCGAGGACCCGTACACACGTTTCAATTAGGAAGCGGCTCAGGGTGTAACAACTAGTGCAACGTTCTAAAGCGCAGTTTCCATTAGGAAGCAGCGCTAGAAGCGTAGTAAGGTGCAGTAGGTTCAACAGTAACGATCTATAGCGGAGTTCTAAACAAGGAAGTAGAGCTAGATGCGTAGTAAGTTAGATTCCATTCACGTGCGCATCGCTGCCAGTAGTCATTCCGCGAGGGAAAATCGTAACATCGCGATGCAGAATTTGCGATTTCGACGCCAATGCCATCTAACGGTGCGTGACGGAACTAATATGAGTTGTTGCCTGTTATGTGATTTTGTTACATAACTACAAAAACAATGACAACAAAAAAGCGGTGTGGTGATCCAGCAAGCAAACGAATTTCGTTATTTTGGCTCCTGTACGGGCCGCTTAATAAAAATAACGAATTAATAATATGTCAGCATGAGATTAGAGTAACAGTTATCACTAGCGACCGCGTGAAATATTTGTGTACAATAATGTTGTTTCTTCTTGTGACCGCTAGGGGCGCTGTATAATTTGCCAAACAAAATTGTGAAGTAATTTACGCGGTCACAAGCGGCAACTGTTACAGTAAACGCGTGTCAGAAGAACATATACCAGTATTACTACCCTGTACTATGTTTACCAAAGCAACTGGGGCACAACCCGCAACAACCAGAATCAATTTAGAAAAGTACATTTCTCGAATTGGTCCTTTTGGGAATCGAACCTGTGACTTTCTTATTCAACGCCCACAGTGCAAACCGTTAGGCCACCGAAGTCGTCATATTAGTAATCGAAATGCAGCTCATCTTCGCTCCACTTGAAAATTAGTGATTCATAAATATCCCGGGGGCCAGCCACAACCTCTTAAAACAATATTACTTTAACCTTACATTGACTTTTCGTACCATAACGCGCTTAAAGAAAGCTTATTTGTAATGTTAAAACTATGATGTTTTATTGGTAGCTTTGTGACTATTCATTCATCCAGTTCGTACCATGACGCGACTTTGACATTAAAGTAATATTGCTCTTATGTGAAATTTAGCAATCTTAAAATATTTACGCGGATGCAATGGAAACAATATTATTTTCAGTTTTATTGTCTTAATATTGATTTATAATGATTTAAAGTTAAGTTGAACTTATTTATTTACATATATCATTCAATATTTTGTTTATTTTTTATATAATAGCACATAGGAAATATATTTTCGTAAAATAAAAATACGCGATGTTTATTTCGTAAAATTATGACAGCGCCATCTATATGCTCCTTGGCGAAACTAACAGTTGACACTAGACAATGGTTCCGAATTCACAACGTAACTATCAAGACTCAGCTTGTTTTATTTATTTTACTTCATGAAAATGCGGAATAATAACTGAAAACAACGTAATTTTAATAGACTTCATTAATACATACTTTTCTTTTTTGGCAGTTAAAATTCTCTGAATGTAAATAATATAAATAATAAACTTTAACATTATACTACGATAACACGATTCGGAACATCAAAAAAGAAAGAGATGGCATTATACAGTTCATATAGCGTTATTTCTTTCCTACTTTTGGTAAGGAATAGACAATATTGGGAAATCATTCGTTCTTTCAGTCACTTTAGCATACATTAGTATACATTAGTTGGTTGATAGGTTTGGCCTGGTACGAAAATGAGTAATATTACAATAAGCTTATTTTAAGCTTACATTGAAATAAGATTGTTTTTGGAAAGGTTATGGTAGGCCCCCCGGTCTAGAGTGAATACCTCGTGTGTGATTTCTATGTAATTTGTCAGGACGAAGATATAAATGTATTGTAAAATGTAGTAAACGCAATAATGTTGTAGTTAGCATTTTAATTAGTAAAATTATACCTGTTTCATATATTATATCACTTTAATAAAATATTTGAGTAAGAAGTGATTTTTTCTTCAACAAAAATCAGTTCAAATAAACAATGTGAAAACGCGTATGCGAGGTTTTCTCTTATTCGACTATATGCACCTCTAAATAAAGGCATAAAGCCTAAATTGGGCATTTGGTATCATTAATTGTAGAAGTTAATTCTATGTTTAGCAATAAAACTATTCTTTTCGGATCTAAAATATAAATATATTTGTTTTTTCAAACGACCCAGCGCTGTGGGGTCTTGACAAATCTTGTAAAAAGTTCGAAATGTTGGTACGCAAATTCAAATCTACAAAAAATAATTTGTTTTACTTACTTCTAACCTCAAATTCGATAAAAATCTAGATTGAGTTTCGTTCATTCTTCATTCCAATATTTGGATCCCCTATCTTCCGTTCACAAAATGTAAAACATGAGTAACCCGCATTATTCCAATGTTGAAACTATGCTTACAAGTAACGGATATTATTATATAGAAGTATATGGGTTAATACAGTATTGTCACTGTAAAATTCTGGTTTCGCTTTGACTGTAATATATTTTTGTATTATACTTGTAATTAAAGTTCTCGTTAAAAATATCAAAATTTAATTAATGAATTTTTATCATTACAGTGCCAGAAAGAAGGTTCGATATGATCCAAGATCGTCTTGGTGATGGATACCTCAACGTTATTTGTTCAGCTGAAGGCGTCTTTCCTAAGCCAGAAATTGTAATATTAGCTGGCAACAGGTTGGTATTATTTAATTTGAATTTTTGTTATCATTACTTTTTTTGACGACACCAAAGTGACGGGACAAACAAGTCGTGCGCCCGGTGGTAGGCGCCTGCCTGTCCATAATAGTTGCAGTACCACCAGAGCTTTAAATTTTACTCTTATCTTATTATTATTATAGATCTTATTGTTACTCTGAAACATACGTCAACAAGTCCCATATACCTGTAATTCGCCATCACCTTTAAAATCGGAACGCAATAATGCTCACTCTACTACTTGGCGGCAAAAATAGTTAAGTTGTCAATATTTCCCTGGTCGAACTCTTTCACAAGAAGCTTTCATCTTCATCATATCAGCCGGAAGACGTCACACTGCTGAACACAGGCCTCCCCCTAAGATTTCCAGACCAGCCGATAGGACGCGACATGCATCCATCGGTTACCCGTCGTAGGTCATCGCTGGCAACACGCACTGCGCGAAGACTTTTGTTTTCAAGGACTACGTATTGCGGACGAGAAGAGGTCCCGGAGCTTCTCGAAAGCTGCCCAACCGAGTCAGATTCGACAATTGACCTCTTTCTCGAAGTTGGCCCTGCCTAATTGGATGGTTTGTCCGAGGTAGACATACTCGTCAACAACTTCTTCGAGTAGAGGTTCCCACTGTTATAGGGGTGGGTACGACATGGACATTCGTCATAAGTTTCGTCTTCTCCATGTTCATTTTTAGACCCACCTGCTGGGAAACTCGATTGAGATCACCGAGCATGGTGCCAAGCTCTTCCAACGATTCTGCCATGACCACGATATTGTCTGCAAATCAAAGGTGAGTGATGGACTTGCCATTGATGTTGATGCTGAGTCCTTTCCAGTTCAGTAACTTGAAGGCATCTTCCAATGCAGTGTCGTACTCCTCTTTGCAATTGGATAGGCCTTGTGCACTGGTTCTAGAGTCGAAGTGACATAGTGGCGTTTCTGTATAAACACTTCAACACTTCGATATATCGATAGTCAATGTGGCACCGCTGTAGAGATTGTAACACCGGCCGAATCTCGATCGAATCAAAGGCTTTCTCATAGTCCACAAACGCTAAGCATAATGGGAGGTTATACTCCTTGGTCTTCTGTATAACCTGCCGCTGTGTGTGGATATGGTCTATGGTACTGAAGCCCTTCCAGAAACCGGCTTGTTTGGGGGGCTGGGAGTCATCGAATCTGCGCGCGAGGCGGTTCGTGATGAATCGTGAAAATAAGAAGCTCTACTGCTACAAAAACCATAAACGTATGTAAAGTACGTAATGAGTAAAAAATGAGCGCGGTTCATAATATATAACAACAAGTAACATATTTAGGAAATGAAACTATTTTTCCGGATTTAATTCGCGTATATTTGTTTTTTCAAACAAGCCGACGTTTCGGGCCCTTTACAGGTCCCATAGTCACGGTTGACTGAGGTGGCTGGTCTTCAACCAGTTATGTCTAATATTAATGCCAACCACCCAATTTTTTCGCTATAGTTACAATAGTTATTAATTAAATATTAAAATTAAATAACATATTTTTAGTCGATATTACGCTCTGGATATAATAATAATGAATTTAAGACATTTGATATAATCTTCTATGATATAAAGGTCACTGGGTATAATAGACGATTGATATAACAATTTTCAATCTAATATGCCAATAGCATAATGTTCATTTTATATAAACACTTCAGATATAACATTCACTGAGTATTTAGGTGCAATGGTGAATGAACCGAATTTGTTTACATTTCTTGGTTGGTTCGACCTCCTCCTGGGAGTTTAGGTTAGGTTAGTATATGCAATTCAATATTTTGCTTAAAGTTCTAATAAATATATTTTATTACACAAAAAGCACTTAAAGCAGTACAAAAACAATTGTATCTTGCGATTGTACATTTAATGAAATAAAAAATACTTCTTATCATCATAATATAGGGAGCTTTAACTATTCGTAATACGAAATATTATGTTACATTATTTAATACATTATACTGGTAGTACTTATACCATTTGTTCATTATGTCACCTAATCATTATATCTAATGTTTATTATACAGAAGGTTTATTATACACGTTGAAATGTTGCCTTTTGTTGTTATACCTTTTGTTGATGATATACAGTGAGTGATTATATCCTTAGAAATTATATCAAATGTTGTTATACAAAGTGAATATAGATTATTTGTTATTATATCTTCCATTACACACGTAAAAAAGACGTGGTTTAGTACCACCATACCGCCCGCTCTTTTACTTTCGCCCCCAACTATACGTAGTGAGGAATTTCATCCTTTTAAGTACAATTTTATAGTACATGTATCTTTAGAATTCGTACAAAGCATTTTGCTTCCAAGTTCATGATGCGAATTGCTAAGAAGTAATATTCTTTGTCGGCCTTCAGTTTTCCCAAACTGTTGCACAGTTTGGGAAAACAGCACACTGGATATCTTTAGCAGTATACAATACTCGCCCACACTTTTGCTTTCCAGCATATGAGATTGTAGACAAAAATGAACCTTAACTGCCTCCGTGACCGAACGGTTACCATGCTGATCTGCCACACAGAGGTCCCGGGTTTGATCTCGAGCCGGGAGAAATATTTGTATGGCCCACATTTATTTCTCTCGTGAGTTTGGGCGTAATTTGTAGTTGTCGATGTGTGTGTCCATGGCACCCGCGATTAGGGTTTCCCAAGTGCGGCTATGAGTGTATGCGTTATTTATTTATTCAACAATTTAAAAAAGTTTTTAAAGTGGGCATACCCTTTACCTACTGTGAATGAGAGGTGAAATTAAACTTATTTCGAACAATAAAATTTAATTTAATTTTGAACCCGGGACTTCCGACTTTTCTGTTGTTGAATGTTTTGTCTTTATCCTAGATATTTAAAAATTTAGGTGGCAATTTAATGTGGCTATCTATTGATCGGAGACACGGTTTGACTGGACATGTTGCAATAAAGTTATGTATATTATAGGATATTGATGTCTTTGTATGGTTATACAACGTTTAAGATTTTACCTATTTATTTTTTACCTATATATTGTTATAAGCAACACTTCAGCGGTCAAAGGATCTCACATCAAAAGATCTTCCAATCAAAGGAAATATCAAGACGATCTCGATTTCGTATCAATCCGATATTAATAATATTATATAAATAGAAATGTAGGTAGCAAATAAAAAATGTATCAGGCAATCACACAAACACCTGGCCTGTGATTGAGGGCATAGCTCGGCAGACCTAGACTTTACACTAATGTTTTATATATATCACATTTTCTCGGGATGATGTTTTAGGTTTTAAAACTTGAACTGAATAAAAAAGTTTAGGTTTAGGTTTTAAAACTTAAGTTGAATTTTAAAACGGGACATAAATATTTTAAAACTGTCGTTAGAATCTATAAAATGCTCCCCTGAAAAATCTGCGAAATATCGCTTTCACCCTATAAAACACCAAATAACCCTGTACACAATGCCATCATGTGAAATATAGTAATTGCATTTTATCGTATTTAAATTTCAATGAGCTTAACGGCAGGGCCCCCAAGATATCTAAAGACAAAGGAAAGGAATGTATTCCTAATACATTTAATTCATTCCGACAGTCAAATATGGCAGAACCGCCGAAATTTCCAACTCGCGAAATCGGTTACCAAATATTGTGGAACACTCTATTGTACGTTCCTTAAGCCTGTCAATAATATACGGTAAGGGCGTTTGTTAACAAACTCTCAGGAAATACTAATATTTTATTGATCTGAGTTAAATTTTTGATATTTACGTATGTCAATAAGTATAAAGAGGATTTACCTCTGTCACGTGTTTACTAAACTTGTACATAGAAGTAGGCGTAGTATATGGAGGATTTGACAAAACAAATTTAAAAAATCATTGAAGAAATTTTGATGTTTATGATTCTCTGATTAATATAAAATATAATAAAAGTCTATTCAACTTTTTCATTTTAAATTACAAGTTTACGTACCAAAATTAAAAAAAGCCGTGTTAGGTTTGACCTACAGCCTCTCAAGCAGTGGCCGTAGGTTCGAGAGCTCGCCTCTCCTCTGAATTTCTCGGAACTTATTTAATACGCGTCGAAGAAGGTTCACAATCCTCGGAAAACGTGTGAAGTCCCACATTGGGCTAAAGTGGCGGACTGTGGCCTAAATCTTCGCCTGAGAGGAGACCCGTGCATAGCAGTGGGACGTATAAATGAGTTGATGATGATGATGATGCACTAACAGTTTATCACATTAGGCAACATATCAGAAAACGAAATTGTCATAAAAATACCTAATTGAAAAATTCCACATCTTTTAAAGCAGATAAGTCCGTTAAAAGGAATCGTATAACAATGTAAGAGTTTTAGTCTATATAGATCGAATGCCTCCCGAAAGTTGGCCAACAACCCAGACATCGCTGCATACCCGAGCCTGGATTTAGTTCGTCCAATTGGTCACCATATCAATTTATTCCATCAGCAGTAAAACACTGAATTTAAATATGTGTACAACGATACTGGAATAAGATGAAAGAAAAAAAAAGTTGCTGTAATTAGACTGAAAAAACTGAAAATAATAATAATAATAATAATATTTATTACACGTGACTTTACGTTTCGTAATTCTAGAGCTGAGCAAAACAATTTCCCAAAATATATCAAACTATAAACTTGGCAGCGTTAATTTAAAACGAAGAAATTAGAAAGAATCAGACCAAGGATTTTACGATTGACATGCGGTTTCTAGCTTCAATATAATAATATAATAATATTTACACACGCAGATTCTCATCATTACGTTTGTTAGTTATACATGTAATGTGTATAATACGAGCCCTGTTCCCCACCCACGGTGGGTTTGGCTTCGCCCTACGGCGCGTGCTTGGGTTTGGATTTGGCCCTGAGCTCGACAAGCAGACAAGCAGTAACGAATGTTCAATAAATAGAAGAAATGTCGAATTTAATACCTACCGTATTAATTTTGT